GTTCAGCCTGAAGAAGAGAAGACCTCAGAGCAACTTTTCAATATCTGAAGGGCCTATTAGGAAGCAGGAGAGGGACTCTGTGTTGGGAACTGCAATGATAGGACAAGGGGTAATGGATTCAAACTGAAGGAGGGAAAGTCTAGGTTGGATGTGAGGAGAGTTTTTCCCCGTGAGAGTGGTGAGACCCTGTCCCAGGTTGCCCAGGGAGGCTGTGGCTGCCCCAACCCTGGCAGTGTTCACAGCCAGGTTGGATGAGCCTTGAGCAACCTGCTCTGCTGGGAGGTGTCCCTGCCCAGGGCAGGGCTTGGGGCTGGATGATCTCTAAGGTCCATTCCAACCCTTAAATTCTATGATTCTATGATTTGGGGATTAGGCACCTCCTAAAAGACAATGCCTTGCAGTGGTGTCTGCTTTGATGCCTTCTCCTTCTATGGTTCAAGCTCTAAATAAATAATTAATCTTATATTTATGTCAAGAATAGAACTCATTGGTCTAACAAATGCCAGTGGTGGAGACTGATGGGGTGAGGACCATTTTCAGCTACAAAGCGTTTAAGTATGGGTACAGGAAGGACCTGAAGCAAAGAGCCCCCTGTGCTGTTTAGCCTGGAGAAGAGGCTCAGGGGTGACCTCCTGGCTCTCTGCAACTCCTGCCAGGGCTGGAGAGAGGTGTGGGATGTGTGTCCTGCCAGGGCTGAGGGAGAGGAGAGAGGGAATGGCCTTGAGCTGAGCCAGGGCAGAGTCAGATTGGGTGTGAGGAGAAATGTCTTCCCTGTTGTGGTAGTCAGCACTGGGCTATTGCCCAGGGAGGTGGTGCAGTCACCATCCCTGGAGGTGTTTCAGAGGTGTCTGATGTGGCACTGGAGGATCTGGGTTAGGGTTTAGGGGTTCCAGCAGTGACAGGTTAATGGTTGGACTGGATGATCTTAGAAGTCTCCTCCAACCTTGAAGATTCTCTGATTCTCTCATTCTAACTCTCTGTTTTGAATTGATACACAACTCAAACAACTTCCTTGTGTAACACGAGAAGAACTTTCCAGCTCCCAGTTATGCTCAGGGTGATTCAGCAGATTTTTTATACACCATGCTGACCTTGAGCGCAAGTGATGTCTACAACAGTATTAACCAGGCAGATTAGATAGTCAGGATGGTGCACGGGAGTTCATGCTGCAGTAACCATTTGAAATCAATAGAGTTGCCAGGAGAAAGCAGCCAGGGGTGCAGAGGGCAGTTTGCTTTCTGGTGCTGCTCTTCTTTCACTGTCTCCTGCATTTGTCTTTGCTGTGCATTTTCACCAACTCCAATTCAGGGAGACATTTTTGACAGAAAAAGAAAAAAACCCTTCTTTTCTATGGGAGACATTTTTGACAGAAAAAGAAAAAACCCCTCTTTTCTGTGTCCTAGAGGAATGAAGTTTAGCAGAAGAAATATCCTAGAGGAATATCCCTCAGGACTAAGCAAGGGATAGAAGCTCATGAAGGATTCCAGCTATATTAGGGGATGTGACTTTGGCAATCTGTTAAAAATAAGGAAACCAGAAAAATCAGAAAACACAATTTTGATTGGTGTAACAGTATTCTTTTAAACTGTGGGTACTTTTCAGCCATTGCAATGATCTTTAACTAGGAGGGTAACAAATGATGAAAATGGGAAGCAAACCATTTTCTGCTGGCACAGATGTCTCCAGTGGTCACGACCTCTTGCCTACCTTCCATTTGCATACAGTCAGCATTATTCAGGGGTTTATTTTCTGTAGGTGAGAAGTAACTCAAAAGATCTCATTGTTATTATTTGCTTAAGAGAGAGAGAAGTTTCCAGCTCACAGGGAACTGTTTGTAGTGCTTATTGTAGGAGGAGCTACATACCTAGCCTATATAACCTCAAGGCGAAGCTACTGAAAGCTTAGAGTGAGTTGTACTGTGCACAAGGTAAGTTTTTGGCTTTTGGGCATGCACAGGGAATTAGTGTACTTAAAACTAAGTCAGTGAGTGGCTTTTATAGATGAAATGTGTGTATGTACTTTCTTTGCTAACTAGCTATGTGCACCAAGTGTTAAATGGTTAGGCAGCTGCTTTCTAGGTGTAGGGAGTTCAGGATAAGCAATGTAGATCTCAGCAGTGTGGGGTGTTTCCTCTCACCCCCATCCTATTGTAGAAGAGATGACATGTTATTTGCAAGGGGAATATGGTGGGGTTTTAACCATTTTCCTTTTCCTGCTGTCAATGCTTTAGCTCTGCTGTTGACGTGGTGTTACTAACTGTGAAGCTGTAGTATAAATTAGGCACTGCCTGTGTGTGTGTCCTGCTCCTGTCCACACGTGGATGACAGTCTGCCTGGAAACTCTCATTGCTTTAACTTCCAGCAGAGCTGGAATTGGACCAAGCTGGTATTGCACTTTGGCTCTGCCTGTGGTAAAGACAGATCTGATGTGACCAGAGACAAAATTAAATCCCATTAAATTTGGGGATTTGTCTAACCAAATGAGGAGTGTTGTAAAAGAGGTTGAATGGTTACGGTGGGAAGAAAAAAATCCTTCCTGTCACCTTATAATGGAGCCTAATGACTGCTGGAGAAAGCACAGCAATTACTGAGTTTACATTGTGCAGCTGATAAAACAGTAAACCTCATTCTGAGATAGTGCCAAAGCAAACAGAGAGCACACTCTGCTTTCTGCTCAGAGCAGGACACTTTGGGATCAAATGGGTCTGATTTGCTTGCTCTCTGACCTGAGCCAATTGCTCTTAGTACAGGGTTCTTTTTGCTTTACTAACCTGCATGTCTAAAAGACATTTGCAGGCAAAAATGATACAATGGAGCCTCTCGATATAGCCCAACTTTTACCTCCTTTATTAACTGGATGAATGTCTTAGACTATAAATCATTGGTTTCAAACAAGACAACTCTGAGAACCACTTAGAGACTTAATTCCTCTTCTTTATTTTGCAGATCTCATTTGTTTACTCCTGTCAGTTGGACATCAAGCACGTGGAGACATGTCTGGGAAACCCAAGCTGCACTACTTCAACGGGCGAGGCCGAATGGAATCCATCCGCTGGCTGCTGGCAGCAGCTGGGGTTGAGGTTTGCCTTTGCTTTCCACACTAAGAGCATGTGACAAATGTGTATTTTTACTGTTCCTTATGAAAATGTGACTGGCCAGCAGTTTCAAACTGCTCTGTGCATTGCTGACCAAGGAGCTTAGCCTAAGTAAATGTGACTGGCCAGCAGTTTCAAACTCTGTGCTCTGTGCATTGCTGACCAAGTCGCTTAGCCTAAGCGGAAGACCAAGTTCCTGTTTCACTTCCATGCAGCTTGTGATGAGTTTTCTGGTAGCACAAGAAATGTCTCCCCAGTGTAGCTAGTGAAAGAATTATTGCTACTGCCATGTAGCTTACCCCAGGAGGTGCTGTACAATACAAATCACAGAGCTACTTTTTTTTTTTACCTCTAATAATTTCTGATGTTGAACCAGAGGAGTGTGAGCACCTGTAAGTTTCAAGAGCTCTGAGATTTTGTCGTGGTGATGGCCACTGTGCCAGAAAGCTGAATGGGGCACTGAATCTCTTCTCTTTGTCCCTTCATTTGCCAGTTTATAGCAAAAAGCTCTACCACTGTTCTGCTGCTGCACTGAGAATTTATCTACACTCCTCTCTTCCCTGCACCATCTCTTGCCAGCACGGGCAGCAGCAGCAGGGTCATCATTTGCTCAACAGATGAGGTTTTGTGCCTTTCAGTCATCTCAGCTTTAGTCAAAGTCTTACCTGCACAAAACTATGAGTCATGTGTGAGAGGGAAGAGGAAAGGATGAGACAGAGGCAAAATAAATTTTTAAAGAGAATTTTTTCCCCCGTAACACATTCCTCTTAACTCTTTATGCCTTCATTGTCTAAATGTATAAGAAGCTAAAGCATGGAATGACAACACAACTTTTTTCTGTGTTTCCTGCAGTTTGAAGAAGCTTTCCTGGAAAAAAAGGAGGATCTGACAAAGTTACAGAAGGGTAAGTTTCTTTCATGTTTTAGTAATGCAATAAGAATAAGAATTTGTCACTAAGGAATGGTTCTTTGTTTCATGATAAGCATTTTCCATACCTTGTTGTGGTAGTGAGGAAGATCACCACCAAAGGGTTGTCAAGCATTGGAACAGAAGGCCCAGGGAAGTGGTTGAGTCTCCACGTGTAGCTGTGGCTCTTAGGGACATGGTTTTAGTGGTGGAGTTTGACACTATGAGGTTTACAGTTGGACTTCATGACCCTAAGAGTCTACTCTCGCCTAAATGATCTTAAATAATAAATAATACACGTGGATACTTTGCCTAACCCCAACTGATGCTTCTCATTGAGAGACTGTGTCTCCTTGTCTTACCCTCTTTTCCCTAGATGGATCCCTGCTCTTTCAGCAAGTGCCCATGGTGGAGATGGATGGAATGAAGTTGGTGCAGACCAGAGCCATCCTCAGCTACATAGCAACAAAGTACAACCTCTATGGGAAGGACCTGAAGGAGAGAACCCTGTATGTCACAGTACCACCTTTGCTTGTGTGACCACAGTTCATACTACATCTCTGTGTAACACAAAAATATCTCAGGTCACAACCAGATTCAGGGTGATAGAGCAGTGTGTGTTGACTGACTGCAGGTGAAGCTTTACAGCAGTAATAACAAGCTAGATTAGATTGGCAGCCCCAGGTAGATTAGACCTTGCATGGTGCAAGGGAGCTCGTGGATCATCAAGCAAAGGTCAATACATTATCAGAACACTAGTGGTGTTCCCCAGGGGTCACTGCTGGGCCCAGTGCTCTTTAATACCTTTATTGATGATATAGATGAGAGGATTGAGTGCACCATCAGCAAGTTTGCAGATGACACAAAGCTGGGGGGGAGTGTGGATCTGCTGGAAGGCAGGAGGGCTCTGCAGAGGGACCTGGACAGGCTGGAGAGATGGGCTGAGTCCAAGGGGATGAGGTTTAACAAGGCCAAGGGCTGGTCCTGCACTTTGGCCACACCAATCCCATGCAGGGGGACAGCTCCAGGCTGGGACAGAGTGGCTGGAGAGCACCAGGAGAAAGGGACCTGGGAGTGTGGAGAGACAGGAGCTGAGCAGGAGCCAGCAGTGTGCTCAGGGGGGCAAGAAGGCCAATGGCATCCTGGGCTGGAGCAGGAACAGTGTGGTTTTGTACTCAGGTTCCAAAAAACTCAGTGTGGAGAAGTATCATCCCTAGGGAAAAGTGGCTACAGTCTTTAGGTTTTGTTTAGGCATTGTCTTTCCCCCAAGCTCCTCCCTCTGCCCCCTGAAGCTACTGCATTCCTGGGGGGAACTGCTCCAAGCTATGCACATGGGATAGAAGAGGCAGAGAGTTCCCAGCATCTCAGTGGGGTTATGCCAGTAGCTGTTGTGCTGTTCAGGTCTACTCTGTTTGACTTGACCAACTGGATCTATCCCTTTCAGAATTGACATGTATATGGAAGGACTACTAGATCTGTACGAGTTATTCATGATGTACCTTATCCAACCAGCGGATAAAAAGGAGCAACACTTTGCTAATATGTTGGACAAGGCCTCAAACAGATACTTCCCAGCCTTTGAGAAGGTATGTGCAAAGATGTAGCTTAATCAATACTGTTTTTCTGTAACTCCATCGTGGATCTGCACATCTTTGACTGAAGAAAACAGAAAAGAAAAATTACATCTTCAATATAAATGCTCTGGTTTTGGTGGGGCTGGGATGAGGTTGGAGACAGGACACTACAGAGGGGACAGAAGGCACACTATAGCATCAGCTTTTACATCAAGTTTCCTCCTCAAGTGCAGGCCCCCCTCTACCACACGTCCTGTGTTATATTACAGTTCCTTCTGTATCTCACAAAGCTTAGCCTTCGACAGTGCTGAGTACATGAGCTACAGAAGTGAAGGCAAAAGGAAAACTGAGTTGCCAGAAAGAGATCATAGAATCCCAGAATCAATTAGGTTGGAAGGGACCACAATGGACCATCTGGTCCAACCTCCTACTCCAGCAGGGCCAGCCCAGAGCACATGGCTCAGGGTTGTGTCCAGATGGTTCTTGAACACCTCCAGTGAGGA